GATTTTCAAGTGGCATATGCAGTGGACAATGATCAAGAACTTGCAGCTTCTTGCATCATTGAAGAAGAGGCAGAAGAAGAAACGGCTCTTGTGACAGTGAGTGATAGATTCATAAATTATGAAAATGACTGGATAGTAGATTCTGGGTGCTCCAATCACATGACGGGTGACATGAGCAAATTAGAAAACATCAACAAGTATGAAGGACGACGAGTTGTAGTCACTGCAAACAACTCAAAACTACCTATCACTCACGTTGGCCAAACAAAGATTACTCCCCGATTCAATGCTGAGCAAGTGGAGCTTCAAGATGTCATGCACGTGCCAGGTATGAAGAAGAATTTACTATCGGTGTCACAACTCACAAGATCTGGCAAATATGTGGTGTTCGGACCAGACTATGTTAAAGTATATCGGCATCTACAAGAAAATGAGGAACCGATCATGGAGGGACGAAGAGTTGAGTCTGCCTATGTAATGTCTGCACAAACGGCATATGTAGATAAGACACGGAAAAATGAGACACCAGACTTCTGGCTCGCACGTCTTGGGCATGTGAGTTACAAGAAATTAAAGGTGATGATGAAGAAGGAAATTCTAAAGGGTCTCCCCAAACTAGAAATCCACGATGATGTGGTTTACGCTGGGTGTCAATATGGAAAAGCTCATCAGCTTTCATACGAGGAGTCAAAGTTCAGATCCAAAGCGCCGCTAGACCTAATACACTCAGACGTATTCGGGAAGGTAAAGCGACCTTGAGTTTGCAGCTTCAGGTACATGATTACATTCATCGATGATTTTTCAAGATTTGTTTGGGTTGATTTTATGAAAGAAAAATCAGAAGCTTTAAACAAGTTCAAGGTATTCAAAGAAAAGGTTGAGGCAGAAGTAGGCCACAATATCAAGTGCCTACGCACAGATAACGGGGGAGAATACACGTCTGAAGAATTTAATAAATTTCTAAAAGAGTGTAAAATAAGAAGACAATTCTCATGCCCAAGTACGCCTCAACAAAACGGGGTTGCAGAGAGAAAGAATAGACACTTGGCGGAGACTGTAAGAAGTATGCTGCACTCGAAGAATGTATCCCCACGTTTTTGGGCCGAGTGTATGAAAACGGCATCCCATGTGGTTAACAGGTTGCCGCAAGCAAAGCTTGGATTCATTTCACTATTCGAGAAATTACAAAATATCAAGCCCACAGTAAGTCACTTCAGGGTGTTTGGTTGTGTATGCTACGTATTTGTTCCTGATCACCTACGTAGCAAGTTTGATAAGAAGGCAATCCGTTGCATATTCGTGGGCTATGACGATCAAAGGAAAGGATGGAAGTGTTGTGATCCCACTACTGGAAAGTGTTACACTTCCAGGAATGTGGTATTCGATGAAGCATCATCGTGGTGGGCATCTCAAGAAATTGTTCTTCCAGAGTCACAAGAAGTTGAAGAAATCTTAAAAGAACATGAAGAAGAAAAAGGTGACACAAATGAAGAACTACCTGAAATTTATTAAGGTCCATGGCAAACTAGAAGTCATGACAAGATTATTGAACAAGAGAGGCCAAATCAGTATGAGGAATTTGAAGAGCCAAATGAGTCTCTCCGAAGGTCGACAAGAAGAAGGAGGCCAGGCCAAACCCAAAGTATGCAAATGCGGCACTAATGGAAGATAATGGGCCAAAAGAACCAGTTACTTTCAAAGATGCCTCACAAAGTCCCGAATGGAAAAAGGCAATGGAAGAGGAGATCAAGGCCCCTAGAGAGAACGAGACTTGGGAGTTGGTTCCTAAACCCAAAGAGGTACGTCCAATAACTTGTAAATGGGTTTATAAGTTGAAAACTCGACCAGATGGATCAATTGAAAGATATAAAGCACGCATAGTCGCTCGAGGTTTATCTCAAAAGTATGGCCTTGATTATGATGAGATTTTCAGCCCAGTAGCAAAGATCACTACTGTACGAGTCCTACTAGCACTAGCAGCAAGACAATCTTGGAAGTTGTGGCAAATGGACGTCAAGAATGCTTTCTTACATGGAGAGCTAGATCGAAACATCTACATGGAGCAACCTGAGGGATTTATAAGCAAATCACATCCAGATTTTGTGTGCAAACTCAAGAAAGCATTATACGGATTGAAACAGGCACCACGAGCATGGTATAGGAAGATAGTTGAATTCTTGGTACAAAGTGGTTACTCAATTGCTCCTTCTGATTCAAGCTTGTTTGTGAAGTATATCGGTGGGAAAGTATCGGTCATATTGATATATGTGGATGATCTAATCATCACCGGGAATCATGAGAAGGAGATCAATGAAATACGAGGAAATTTATCAGTGAGGTTCCAAATGAAAGAGCTTGGAGAACTACAACATTTCTTGGGCCTTGAGGTTGAACGAACTAAAGAAGGAATATTCTTGTGCCAACACAAGTATGCAAAAGACATACTTGAAAAGTTTGGGATGCTTGATTGCAAACCAATATCAACTCCTATAGAGCCGAATGTGAAGATGTGCACAGTTGAAGGTCGAGTATTGGAGGACTCCACAATGTACGACAACTTGTTGGAAGTCTTATCTACTTAACAATCACAAGGCCGGATATCATGTTCGCGGTAGGAGTAGTGAGTCGGTTCATGGAGAAGTCAAGGAAGCCACACTTAGATGCAATCCGGCGCATAATGAGGTACGTAAAAGGAACTTTGGATTTCGGCATATTGTATAAAAGAGATGCATCATTTGAAGTGGTAGGCCATTGTGATGCTGATTATGCTGGAGATCATGATACTCGTCGCTCAACCACTGGTTACACATTTAGTCTTGGGACGGGCACTATGTCATGGTGTAGCAAAAGACAACCAACAGTGTCATTATCAACTACAGAAGCAGAATATAGAGCAGCAACAATGGCAGCTCAAGAGAGTGCATGGTTGATGCAATTTCTAAAAGATCTTCATTAACCAACTGACGAGCCAATAGCATTACATTGTGATAACCAATCAGCAATACGGCTCACAGAGAACCCAATCTTTCATGCAAGGAGAAAACATGTGGAGGTTCATTATCATTTCATACGAGAAAGGTCCTTAAAGGAGATATTGAGATGAAATACATCAGGACAGAAAATCAAATTGCTGATTTGTTCACCAAAGGACTAAACACTACGCAGTTCGTGAGCTTGAGGGATCAACTTAGCATGGTTGCAAGATCTGCAATAAGATAGAGTAGTCGTTGATGGGGGTGTTGAAAAGTCAACGACCCTCTAGAATCTTCTAGAATCTTCTTTATTAAGTTCTCTAGAATCTTCTATAATCTTCTTTATGAATTCTAGGTAGTGTAGAATTCTCTAGATGGAGTATTGAATGAGAGTTAGATAGAAATACTCTAGAATATAATAGATGTGAGAATAATCTATAATGTAATTAATGTAGAAGGATTTAGAAACACTCTCACCTCCTTAGGCTAGCTAGTATAAATAGAGGTGGATGGACACAACTCCATCACCACCAAGAGAGTGAAGCATCCTCAAGAGTGAGAGTAAGAGAGACTCCCCACCTTTGTACTCAATATTTTACATTAATAAAATTGTCTTTTATTCCTCCAAATCTCAACAAATAGGCTAAAAAAATGGTTATATTTGTTAATGTTTTGTTATATTTAATTTGGTTTGAGCCGCTTGTTCATCTTTTCGGAAAGATCCTTTAAAGTTCCAAAATCACCATGTTCCGTAATTCTTCTCTCAAAATGCTGATATTTAAACGGTTTTATCTGTCGGGTAAGGTGTCCCAAATGTAAAATTGCTGCATTTGGAGATCACTATTCTATGTGGTAATCTTGGGTTTTATGCTTGTAGTAAACATGTGTAAGTAAAGTAACTATCATTTGACAGAAAATTTAAACATAATAATGGAGGAAGACTAATATAATGACTGCAAAACTATAGAACAAGAAAGTACTCCCTCCGTCCCGAATTGAGTGACAAACTTTGATCGGCACAAGGATTAAGGAATAACAGTAAATGATGCTTGTTTTTTACACTTTTGTCCTTCATCCTGAAAGTAGATGCCTTTAAGTTGATGGGGGAAAAGTAAAAGTAAGGGTAAATTTGTCACTTACTTTTATTTGCATGCCTAAAATAGAAAATGTAAAATCATTTTGGGATAACCAAAATTGCAAAACAAATTGGCATGAAGAAAATACTATATATGCGCGCAAACTTTATTATATTGGTAGGTAAAAATGTCTCATTTTCACCATTAACTCTTTCATTATGACTTTAGGGGTAAGAGTCTAAGACATGTGGGAGCCTCCCCGTTTGAACGGAAACATTGTGAAAGGAGTGAAGTACCATCTCCATCTCATTATCTGGCCGGCATGCCCTCGGATTTCGAGCCCCCTTTTTCTTTTTTCCTCTACATTTCCTCCAAGGAGGAACGCTTTCTTTTTCTTTTTTGTCACCTTTTGACTTTAATGCTCCGCATATTTTGAGCTTTTCCCACACATAAAGAGACTAAAAGCAGAAGTATATTATCAACTCAGGCTAGAAGAAATTATGGTTTGTTTGGTGGGTTTTGATTCCTTTGATTTCCCAATCGGATGAGAAAAAGCACAGCCCTACTTCCCACTTGAGATATTAATCATTTCACCTTTATTAACCATTCCTTCTTTAGGCTAATTGGAGTTTATGCTGGCTAGAGATCTATGTCTTTTCTAGCTAATGATTTGGTTTGACGTAAATATTCTATGTGACCGGGTCTACTAAGCAAGTGCACCCAAGCGTGCAGGGTGTTTTCTTCATATACTTTTAATAATTCTCTAAAAACAAGTTTTTTTTAATATATAATAAATTAATAATGTGTTATCATAGACTGTAGTAAGGTGTTTACTTTACAAAAAGTAAAATACGGAGTATATTATTCGAAAAAATATGAACTTTAAGAGTACGGTAAGCAAAGTTATGTAAATATGCATACATGTAAACTAAGTCAGGTTGAAGAAGTGTTCATTATACTAGTACAAGCCTCGGGTAACCCCATGAGAAACTGTCCAGTTCCGGTTCAGGAATTGCCAGTTCCAGAACTAGATAAGTGTGTGGAATAATTTTGGGCAAATCAAATGTTTCCTATCCAGCTTTCAGCCAATTCCTTAAAAAAATAGAACCGGATTAAGTCCAGTTCAGTGCTATGGCTGCAAATACTGATTTAGATCCAGCACGGGGAAGCAGGCCCCATTCCAGCCTCTATCTCACACCCGCTCTGCTCCCATGTTACGATGTACCCAAGGATAGTATGTGTACACATGGGGGCTGGGGCAGAACAAACAGATTTTGTGCTAAATGAGAAATGCAGTAAGCAACTATGAATCATCCAATATACGCATCCATTCAACATGAAAGTATGAAACCAGAAGACATGTTAAAGGTGCTACAAATGACATGCCTAAAATAAACAGGATATAAGGACTGTCTCAAGAATGAAAAGTTCTGAGAACTTCTGTACAGGTACCCCATCCCAGTTGCAGCTTTGGCACTTGGCTGTGATACCAAGGGATGAGATAGTCTATTCCAAAACTGTATTTCACCTGATATTCCAACTGCCACATTACAGCAAAATGTGTTTAACAGTTGGAATTCACAATTTGCTAGCAATGACCTGTTAAATTTAGGATGCGATAATCCAATGATAACCTAACGCTGGAACAAGGATATGGAATACAAAATCTCATCCCAAGCACAACCAGAAGAGTCCAATTTAGAGTAGGTGGTGATTCTAATTTAGGTAATAACAAGGTCAGGGCAGGCGCATGCATGAACCAAACCGACTTCATATATCATAATGATATCCAGCTTCATGTTTCATTGCTCTGAGTTCTTCAGAATCTTTCCACAAGTGAGTTCTTGAACTTAAGATGGCCATCAACACATCTACTGGAAATTATAGGAAGCACAAAACACCAAAAAAACAGATAAGGTTTCCTTTGAAGCCGCATTAGTTACGAGGCACAAAACTATTTATAGAGAGATCACTAAGATATTAATTGAAACCAGATAAGATAACCAAATTAACAGCTCCTCTACTTGTAATTTCAGCTTTACAAGCCATTAAGAACTTGATCATATCCATATCACAAAATCAGTGAGTTATTACAGATAAACAACAAGAGCAGTGAAGAGAATGAAAATCTCTAGTTAAGAAAGACAGAATAATGAACTGAATATGGGTCATGGTTATAGTTAGTAACAGTGGTGCAGCTAGAATTCCCATAAACTGAATTAGGGGTAGACCAAGAGAACAATTCATTCATATGAGTTTATATATAGTAAAAGAAATCACATATAAAGAGTTTTTACGGAACTTGAGGCGTTCGTAGGCAAGGGTTTCATTGGCCCTTGCCTACGAACGCCCACAATCAGGAACAATGATGCATCTGGAAACATATTTATTGCAATAGAAACCATAATAGAAGCATAAGAAGATACCAAAATCAGAACACGGACAACCAAATAGTAAATTTTTGCATTTATTGGAAATACCAAAGATTCATGCAGATTAGGCATGAAAGCATCACAAATACTTTGACATAATAGATTACACAGTGAATGCAGCAAAAATTAATGTAACATGAACACCCAACATTAATCAAGTAAAGAACAACTGTAAGACCTTGGATCTCATGAGTAGAGTCTAAGCATGCTCCTCCCAAACGAATGTGTCCCGTTTAGCCTGTTGCTGCTTTTCCCTCGCCGACTACCACTCATGGGGGTCAAGTAAAAACGCAAGAGACCACTGTCAAAATGCTTAGGGGAAAACCTAGCACTCCGATTCCTCTCCAACCCAAAATCCTCCTTCCTCTTGCTCACATTCCCACTCATCTCAACACTAGATTTCCTTCCATGCCCAAATGATCCCCCCATATAGCTTGAAGAATACCTACGACTCACACTACTATTACTCCGGAATGCCTTCTTATTCACCCCACCTCTCAAATCCTGCCAAGAAGCCGAGAAGGATCTCTCAATCCCATTTGGTCTGCTATATCGTTCATATTCATCATCTTTGCTCCCACCACCATTTCTCCTGTATATAAACCCTAATATATTCCACGCCCATCTCCTTGACTTTTTAGAACCTTTCCTCTCCCCATTTCCGATCACTGGAGCATTATTATCTCTAAAACCTGCCAATTCAGAAGTCTCAGAGCAATCATCCCTCAAGGAGTTGGAATTTGAATCCCTATCAGCAGGCAAAACTTTAGCATTAGAAACGGCCTTCATCTCAGAAATCTCAGCAGCCAAAAAAACTGCTGCCGGCTTCTTGACAGAGCCAGACCTATCAAGACTCTTTCTCCTTTTTGAGGAAGAATCTGCGTAGAAATTCCTAGTCTGGGCTGAACCTCCAGGAAGGGTGTCATCTTCTTCATCGATGCAATTCTTCATGATAGAAAATGGATCCTCAACTGGGATTTTAGTGGCTGTACATGAAACATTGTCTATCACTGGAGGAGCATCATCCTCTACGACAGAGACCATAGGAGCAATCCTGGGGAAGGTCTTTCCGATCATATGCCCATCCCAGGAAGCACGAGGCTCGTCAAAAGAGTATCTGGGGTCATCAAAGCTAATCCTTCCAGCATCGAGTGAGAAACGAGGGTCTGTGTCGCAAGACCTCCTTCCAAAGCCGTAGTCTGCAATTTCAGATTGGGTTTCCCGGAAATGCCTTGAAAGTTTCTTTTCTGCAGGTAGAGTGGTGGAGCTTCGACCAGCGTTAGACTTCTTATGCTTCTGTTTTTGCCTCCATTTGTGCCATTTTTTGCTGAAGACCGACGCTGCTGACCAGAAGCTTCCCGCTATTTCCATCATTCCGCCTGAATGCTTTTTAGCCTGGGAATCGAGATCTATATGATCCTTCATCGGCTTTGATACGTCCTCCTTCAAACATTCATCCTCAGCAATTTCCGAATTAATCACTCCACCCAACCTATTTTGGCTTCTCGAAGATTCTGGAAGCTCGGTGATTTCTTCAATTTCACCGCTTCCATTTCTGCTTTCACAAAAGACCTGTTCGTTAGAGACTTCCTTTTCATCTTCCTCTTCATTGGACTCGAGGACGGGCCTATTGACAAAATCCCCGGCATTCTCACTGCAGTGAGGGTTTTGGGAGGTGGAAGGTCTCGTTTCGTTATCAATGGAGAAAAGACCCCACAGGGTGTTACGGACCCTTACGTCACATGACCTGCGCTGGGGCTCAAAGGACGCCGTAGAGAAGCCCAACGCCTCATTCTTCGACGCTGAGAACGACTTCGTACGGCGGAGCTCGGGGAAGAATGAGGAGGGTTTGGACGGTTTAGGCGGGGGAGGGGGAAGGGATGGAGCAGCGGAGGAAGCTGATGGTTTAGAAAAGAGGGATTTGAAAGCAGCGGCGGCAGAGGAGGAGGACGTCGACGGGCGGCGAGAGGAGGAGGAAGGGTTATTAGTAGAAGCCGAATGATCTAAGGTGGTGAGACGTTCGCAGAGGCATTCCGGGCAGAACCCGGAGAACTGCTCCTCCGGGTGGCGGTCGCAGCTGAAGGAGGAGCGCGGAGGCTGCGCCGGCGGAAGCGGCGGGGGTTGGTCTGCGGCGGTGGGATTCATACCCGATGGTGTGAAACGCGCAGCCTTCCGGTCATGCTACGCCATTGAAGCGCCGAGAGAGAGGAAATGCGAGCGTGTGCGGAGAGAGAGCTTAGCGCTGCTCAGAAGTTGCAGGCCTTCCAACGGACAAACAGGGAATTGTGATCTCAGAGAGAAGAAAAGAAAAATGAAAAAGAAAAGAGGACAGAATTTGAAGGAAAGGCGAGGAATAAAACCACTATATGGAAGTAGTAAAGCAACGACAACAATAATAGATAAAACAAATTCTATGATGCTTCATAAAACAAATACACAAAAAATAATTCTTCGGATACCAAATAGATTTTGGGGAAGCTGATTTCCTCCCCGAAGACCCCGATTTCGGGTAATCGTGCACTAGTGGTGTGATATATGTCGTGTTTTTTTTTTTATTTAGGAGCGTTTTGAATTGATTTTATTTTTGCCTTTTTTTAATGTATGACGTGTTTTGATCTAATTTTTAAAATTGTTTTAACTATTTCATCGAGTAGAAAAAAGAAGTTGTAGTGTATAAAGTATGGAAACTCTCCGTCGCTCATATTCTCCGTTTCGAAAACTCTGAAGCGTGTCGGAAACTCAGAAACTTCAAATTCCTGTTTTGGGGTCGTGGGAAATTCGTTTCCCTAAATAATCAGCGTTTCGGAAACCCTGAATTTTCAACTTTTTTTTAAGAAGTCATATGATGGAAAATAGTGTCTTTTTATTTTTTTTATTTTTTGTGTTATTTCTTTGTAGCTACATTGTGGCATTTCATAACGCAATGCATTGCTACCAATGAATTGCATTCTAAATTATAATACTCCATCCGTTTCTGAAACAGGTTCCCCTTTTCCTTTTTGAACAGTCCCTGATTTTAAGTTACACTTTCTTTATTTGGCAAATTATCTACATTATCTACATCAAAACAGTGCAAAACAGTATCAAACAGTGTCAAAACAGTAAGATTTACCCCCATGTAAATTTATTTCGTTAATATGTGTGAAGCAATGAGGAACTTCTTTTGGAGACAGCGGGAGTATGTAATTATTTCTAAATTTGAGCATGTACAATGTTTTTATTATCGGGCTATTAAGCAAACAATACGAAAGTATCATGTGCGTATATATAAATGAAAAAATCTGTGCACATATGTGATAAAATATTTACAAATATATTCTTATATTTTCTAATATTTACGTGTTTCCCCCACATTTCATATCCTATATTTTCTAGAAATCATGTTTCTTGCGTTTCCTGTTTCACGTTTCCTGTTTCTTGTTTTTGTGCTACTTAGGTTGCAGTGTTTGGGTGAAATTGCAGAAATATTTCTGATGCTTTAATTTACTCTTCGAAACAGTTTGTTTAGATACTGGGGGGTCAGTTTCTGAAAACTGATTCTGATCCTGCTTACACTTTTAAAAAGAAACAGAATCAGTTCCAAACATCCCCTATAAACAAATTACACTTAGTTTTTCAGAAGCCGATCTTTCTCATTTTCTAAAAAATGTTTTTCCAAGTAATTTGGAGGTATTTCTTAAAAATGTCTTCTATTCTTTAACTATATATTGAAGTGTTACGTTTGAGTGAAATAGTAAAGGCATAGATGGGTATTCCAAGTAGCTCATAAAAGTTGGGAGAGACAAATTTTAAATAAACTAATTCTAATTATGCTTTTGTTTTTGGAAAAAGAGAAATAAAATCAATTACAAGTAGTTCGTAATATTGAAAGAGCATTCAGTACATCAACTTTATACTTCTTTCAATGAGTTGTTTATGCACATGTTTTTCTCTCGAGAGCTGAGGAAAGGTCAATAAAAAGATAAGTAATATTGTTATAAAAAAAGATAAGTAATTATATGGTTTTGCTTTATTTAAACTCTCAAGTTCAAACTGGGATTACATACAGTAATTCACATCGTTATTAAAAGCACTTGCGCTATGATGTGAAACATAATCTAGTTAAGATTTAGAGTGAGCTGCGCTACTAATCAAATATGTCACATTTATGATATTATGAAATTAATAAAAGGCTACATTAAACTCTAACTTTCAAGGAGCTCATCTATAGACCGCCTTATGATAATAAGTGATTAATGAGATTATAGTCTACATTGCAAACATAAACGAGTATTAAGAACAACCGTTTATAAGATTAGACCAAACAGAATTCAATAAATCATGTTTCAACACATCATATATATCATATCAAACCATAAATTTTCACTCCAATATAATTGAAAACATCCTAGATTATGTAATACGTAAAATTAATTGTACTTTATTTGTATAGTATACTAATTTAATTTCATTTACTAGTTTCTTTGTCGTAAAGATGCACTGCACTCATTCTATAGAATTTGTTATCTTCGACGTTTTAAGTCCATAGTGATAAAGTTTGACCAATGATTTTGATTGATCTATTTTGGTAGAACTATAAGTTTATACATTTATTCAACAAAGAACATTTTATATCATACTTATTTTATAAATAACTTTTGATATAAATATATTCCTCGTCAAAATCTAACTCCATTAGCTTAAAAATCAAATGATGACAAATTTTTAATAAAGAGATGAGGTGTGTTAAAATATTGTATTACACAAATTATTTCTCACAAATATTGCATTTGATACACATTTTAATTTGTTTTAATCATTGAATATCACCGTAATGTCATGATAATAAAATTACAATGCATATCTTGGGTTAAAAACTAGTAGGATAGTTTGTAACTTTGTATATGAGTGCGGTACAAAAATTAAAATGAGGTAAGATTTCAGATTGATCATGGCCTAAAATTTTGAGAACTGTAAAAAGTTGAAATATAAATGATGGAGTATCTTGTCTTGAAATCTATTCCATTAAATATATGAACTAGTAAAATGTTATATTAAAATATCGATTATTCTTCTTATTAGATTACTTTTTAGGATGAAATCTCTGATCTTAACATGATATGATCAGAACCAAATTGATTCACAACCCGATGAACAATGATGACACGATTATAAAAAATTATAACGAGGAATCGATAAAGAAAATGAATAACAACACGATCCAAACAAAGTGTCTGATCATGAGGAGAGATGTTGAAGTGTCACACTGGTTAAATATGATGTAATAAACTGCTATATAAAGATCTGAACTACTCATCCGATCAGGTTGACCCTTTTGGATTAAAACTCATTCATGTCTTAACATCTTGGCACTGATAAATGAAAAACAAGGATGAAAACCTAGATATTGACATCTTGACACTGATAAATATATAAAAACATTGTTAACAAATTAAACATCAAATTACATCAATTAAAATTAAAAGACTATGTAAATAGGTTAGACCACCAACTCCGTCCCACTCAACTTTATCAAGTTGATGTTGTTGAGGTTTGTACAGAGGAGAAAGAAATGAGTAGAACTACAAATTCATTGTTGTTAAAGGAAAATGTCAAAACTTTTTTACACAAACAAAAAAGAAAGTTGACGAAGTTCATTGGGATGAAGGGAGCATACAACAGACTTTGCATGATAAATTTTAAATAAAACAGGCTAGAGTAGATCATATCTAAAAAACACATCAGAATTTTTTTGTCCAAATGAAAGCATCCTTAATATCACTATAATGTTCACATATAATGACAAATTTTCGTGCATGCTTAATCAAAGCGCAAAAAATGTGTGTTTTTACGACACTTTAACCTTTATATATATGATGACGCTATAGTGAAAAATAAAAAATATTATTTTTCCATGCTCAAAAGGTAATTATTGGAGATTTTAAAAGACACGAATTGCCCATCCATCCCCAAACTTTTTTTTCAGATTTGACTTGGCGCATTTATTTTTATCATAAAGAAAGTGACTTATATTAAATAATCAAAACTTCGGCAAGTAACAAATCGACAAAAATTCTCGAACCAGATTCAGAGATAATCACCTTACAAAAAGCGATATGACACGATGATCCTATAATTGGCATAATTGAGTCAAGGATGGTCAAAATAGACTTTCCATCACTCAATCCTAACTCCAGAGTCTGATAGAAGTAAAACAAAAACACAACGAACATAACATCCAGACCAACACAAAAAACTAATACAAATTCAAAACCAGTAGAGGTGAACTGCTTCCCCAGAATCACAAGAACCTTGATCTTTCCTTCTTGGAGAGAAGACTTTTGCATAAACTCGGGTAGGCCTTGAAGTGTCATCTATTAAATCCTAGCCATACGGCCACTCTAAGGAGGCGGTTTAGGAGGAGGGCATATATGCCCCGCCTTTCCGGCTACCCTGAAACCAAGAACCACGTCTGATTAGCCAACGACTGAAGTCAATCATTCCAATTACCCACAAACTAAATAACAAAGCTAAACGTCAATCCCACAAATCCAACCACGTTCCGTTGCGAGCGAGAGACGTCGGTCTTCATGGTCCCCCTTACCAACTCCAAAAAATACAAGACAGCCACTGAAAAACGAACGTAACATAACGTCGGTCGGAGAAAACTAAAGCCGTACGCTTATAGCGGTAGAAGAGAAACTCTGAGCGAAAGTAGCTAGCTACTCGCTAGGGAGCTATCCGCTACTACACAGAGTTGTTTTTTTTATGCAAAGGAACATTTTAATAAGGCATGAACTTGGCGCACTTATTAAAATAGCAAAATTGTGTCTTTAATTTGTAGCTAATGGTAAAAGGAAAAAACAACACATCAACCACACAAAAACAGCCCTTTCTAATTAAGAAAATTAGATGAAAAGCTGAAGATTTTAATCAAGATGAGAATACTCAATTAGATTAGCCAATTTTTATTTTATTTTATTTATTATATTTTCATATTATCGTGCATATGAAAACCAACCATTAGTTTTTCCAGATTTCATAATTAGTGTAGCAATTCACATATATTAGAAGTCTACTTCTTTCAAAAAGGAAGTCTACTTTTTCTGCTATAGACTACTTTAACGCGGATGATATTGTAAAAAGGGAGAATGTGGAATTATTGATCAAAATTACATTGACATAAGTTATATTATGAAAAAGTTTCAATTTTTTTATAAGAGCAAAGAAATACGCTAAGAAACATGATGGCTGCTCCATCCCTGCATGCACAAATGTAATGACTAGTTTATCATTTAATGGCAATATTTTGTTTTGTGTAACCTATCACTCTTCCGCCTAAGTCGAAATAGTTTTCTACTTTTCTTATAGGTATAACAATTTTTTGTGTACACAGTTTATTGTTTATACACTTTTATGCACGCATGTGAATGTTTTTTGTCTATGAATACACTGTTCACAAACAAAACATGTTTTATGTGTGAACAACGTATTCACAGACAAAAAGAATTTCACAAGCGTGAATATATATGTGTATAAAGTAAAAGTGTCTAGAGTTCAACAAGGCTAGAGCTTAAAATAAATTCAATGCTTTCACAATTCTACTAAACTAATATAGATTCCTATCAATGAAACACTAATAATGGGGACAATAGTTTTAGGCATTTACGGTGGGCAAGTCGATCACTATATATACACAAATTATTGTGTGATCAATCTCTTAACCTCTACACTACAGGGAAAAGATGAAAGCGCAGCGTGCATTGATTTATTTGGCTGGAGACGTCCATTGTCAAATAATCATGTGTTCCACTATTCATCGTGAATTATTATGAGCTATTATTGCACACACCGCAACCATCTTTGTCTCACGGTTTAGACGGTGGCTTAACCCTCTTAATAAGAACATCCTCCCATTTGAAATTCGTCATTACTCTCCTCAAAGGTTTCTTTATTTAAATGTGAATCTATTTAGGGGGT